CTAAACATAATGTTCCTCATGGAATTGTATATTAATGATACCAAAAAAAAAAAAGCTGTGAAACGTAAAATACGCGTTTGTAAATTTAAAATCTTGAAGATAATTCCAAAGGACCAGCTACGGACCACAGCCCCGGAACAGTCACGCTGAGCGAGCGTAAACGCTCGCTCAGCGTCGGGAAGCCGCTAGGCCGAGGGCGGAGGCCGGGGGCGGGGCCGGAAGAGGCGGGACCCGCCCGCCGCCTTCTGGGGCTCGTAGTTCGGAGCCCAGGGCGCGGGGCCGGGTCGTCCGCGAAATCCTGCACCCCGGTGCGGGTGCCGCATGGGTAGGTGAGACGGCGGGCGGCCGCAGCGGCAGCCGAGGGGGCGCCGAAGTTCGGAGGCAGGTGGTGTGAGGGCCGCGGGCGGCCCTGGGTCTCCGAGCCGGGAACCTGTCGGGCGCCCGTGGGAGGACGCGCGTTCGCGGAGGTGCGGTCCCGACCTCACGTGGGCCCCGGGCAGGGCCGCGGTCGCCTGAGGCGGGGCGTCCCTCCTGGGGATTTCGTAGCTGGGCACCCCCACCACCACCTCCCCGGCCACTGCAGCTCCAGTGACTGGCCTTATCTCCAAGGTTTTCGGTGGTCGCGAGGCGACCGAGTAAGGCTTCCTATACCGCAGCACAGCCCTCGTCAAAAGGCTGCTCCTGAGCTGCCGCTCCCAGTAACAAGTCAGGCCGGGAAGGTGCCTAAGGCGGTTCAGATCCTGAGAGGCGATGCTTCCCGGCCGAGAGCAGCCGCCACTCCACCCAGAATCTCAAGGCAGAAATCGAAAGGCCTGGAAAAACGTCATGTCTTAGAGCTGCGGGGGGCGATGGAATTCACTTTCCTGTGTGCTGGGGCTGGGGCGTTGGCCTGGTTGATGCAAGCCCTCTGGGAAGCGGTGGGGGGTTGCACAGGGGAGACAGGGCACCCCGGAGGGGGCGCGTGAAGGGCTGACAGACGGATTCGGGACTAGAGCCGAGGAACTTTTCCTGCAGTGTTGATGGATCGGCTAGTCTGTGTGGTGCAAGGTGGACTTGATTTTCATGGCTTTTTCTCTTTCCCAACTGTCCAGGACTCTCTCCTTCCTGAGGGAAGTAACCAAGGTAAATTGGGGTATAGACTCTCCAAAAATGCTCTCTCTGAAAATGGGCATAACTTTTCTTGAGACAAAAGAAGGACATCAACCTACTTGTCTGTCCTCAGGTCCCATCTTCTGTGTTTTCACTTTATAATCAGACGTCAATGAGAGACGTAGAGTATTCTATAAATGTGTGTAGGAACAGTAATACACTAAGGGCATACATACAGCCATCAAATGATGCTGCCAGAGTCAGCGAGCATCAGCTGACTTTAAACTCTCCCTGAGTTTTCACTGAACCACCCTGCCTGGGTGAACTTGGCCCACTCCCCAAAGCACTGGGTTATTCTCTTACTGAAAGACTCCACACAGAATCTTTGCCTGGTCCTCTCTCAGAGCCTGCCTTTTCCTGCCAGACTTTTCTGAAGTCATCCAGAGCTCCCTGTATTCCCTTCGTCTTTCCTCCCTGTCCCTGAGGAAGATGATTTCTGATAAAGTCAGGGATTGCCAATATAGTACAATTTGAGATTCTGGCATATGTTAATGACTTTTTGAATTTAAAGAAAGAACTTCATTCCACCAGTACTTACGGAGTCTGCTGAAAGGCAAGAGTCCCAGTTTAATTCCTCCCGACCTTGAGTAAGGCACTTCACCATTACTTCACCATTATGAACCTTGTTTATCTCATCTGTAAAATTAGAGTGTTTAGTTTGGTGATCTCCAAATGCTCTTACTTATTTCATTATTCATTTAAGTTCAGTGTGAATTTATAAATATTTATTATTTAGATTCCAAGTCAGTTGTGCTAGGTGCTGGGAATTTAAAAATTAGTTAAACATAACCCCAGTCCTTTGGAATCTTACAGTCAATTTGAGAGACAAATTTAATAGCTACAGTAGAGGTATGTGAAAAATACTGTGAGATTTGGGAAGAGGCATTTAACTTATCCTCATGCTTCAGAAGGGAGGTTATTGAGTGTACTGAAACTGAAAGGAGTTCCAGAATGGATGGGAGAGTGTAAGGGCAGAAGCACAGTATAAAGGGCCATTCTAAACTAGAGCATGATGATTGATTGATTAAGTTATCCAGTGTGACAACAGCTTCTGCATTATTGTTCCCTACCCCACAGTAAAGTGCTGGACCCAGCAGGGATGGGCTCTGGAAAGGAAATGGAAAGTCACATGATGAATATAGTTTCGAGGAGTTTGACACTTGCCAGGTGGGAATGGGAAGCTACTGGTCCCATGACCTTACCTGTGGTTGGCCTTGACAATACTAAGTCCAATTTCACACAGGAAGTGTGAGTTCTGCCTTGGGGTGACTCATTAGCACCACTGATATCCAGGGAAACTATTTATTATTCAGATTCTTTCATTCCCAACTTTGTCTTGCTTTAGCAGGACCACTCTTTTCCCCTCTCCTTCCCCTGTCACACTGATTCCTTTCATTTGCTCTACTGTCATACCATTTCTCATCCTAGAATTTTCAACCTTCTACAAAGTTAGTGTATCATCAACATATCCTTTCCATTCTCAGCATGGAATTCTCCCTACCACTTTATCTGTGGGATCTTAACAAATTAACTTTTAATCTATGGACTGAAAGATGACAGAACTTGTATTTTCAAGACTTGGTAAGGAGTTACAAAGAGTGATTATTGGTCTAAGTAAGAAATGAGGACCTTACCTAAGATAGTGGCAGGAAATAAGGAAGAAGTAACACATTGGAGGGAGATTTAGGAGACAGAATTGACGAGATCTGAAGTGGTGAATATTGCTGAAGGGGAGGAGTATTAGACAATCCAGATGACTGAGGGGAAGCTAGATAAAATATAAAGGGAAAAAAGGTAACTGATGGACTTGAATCTCAGAAGGGAGAAAATGATTCACTCTAGAATGCATAAGGAGAGGTTAGTCTTGGACAGAAAGAAACCTTTTTTTCTCTGAGGTGGAGAAGTAAAAGTCTGGTTGAGAAAAGTGGCTAATCTGACTGCTTGATGTTCACCAGGCCCTGTTTTATAACATGTGGGTTTATGGCATTCCAAGGCAACCACATCCACCTTTACTCCTTTGTCCCACCTCTTTGCAGGCACTTACAGGCTTCTCTAGCCCAGTGTCATCCATCTTCCTCAGACTCAGTGGAGACCCATGACCTTGAGAAGACAATTTGGGAGGAAACTGCTGGTTTCCCTCATTGGTGACTGGCAAGGTAGTCATGTCACTCCTGCAGGTAACCCAGTTGTCCTCAGTCTCCTGAAAAGAGAGGAGGTAGTTTCCCTTCAGTCTCAGGCCAGTGTTGGAGCTTCTGAAGGCTGCTGGGTACTTCCCTGGCCCAGAGCTGAGCTGCTGTTTTGGCTTCACTTGGCTCTCAGCTGTTTGGCATGTATTTTGTCACTCTGCTTTTCAGGGTGTGGTCTTAGGCTGGTGCCAGCCCACAAACTGCTTACCATCAGTCTGCAAAGACATAAGGACAGAAAACTGAGAGTGTTTCAAAATTTTATGTCTGTTGAATCTAATAATTTTTAAGTTGTTATTAACATTTTAGACCTCTAGGTTTTTATTTTCTAGTAATTTTTCTTTATTGTATTTTACAAAAGCATCCATCTGTGACATATTAGAAACTTTAAAAGAAACTGGTCCTTCGCCAAAGGTAGTTTGAGAAGTATTGCTCCACTGACAGACCCTGGAGGGAATTAACTCACTGTGAAGTTAAATAAGTACTTGGCCTCCTCCTTAGTGCCAGGCTTTGCTTGAGGCCTTGGGGATGCAGCTGTGACCAGATCAGACAGCTCTCTGTTCTTAGAGAACTTAGATCTTAGTGGGGACAGACAGACAGTAAATAAGAAAGCAAATTACTAAGAAAATGAAATAAGGCATAAGTAGTGTGAAGAAATTAAAACAGGGAGAAGCGATATTTTCTCAGGCTATTATGGATTAGACAGTCAAGGAAATGCCTCTCTGAGGAGTGGCACTGTGGCTGAGGCCTGAATGATAAGGAACCAGGGGTGTGGAGGTGCGGAAAAAGAACATTCTGGGCAGAGGGACAGGCAGTGCAAAGGCGCTGTGTTGGGATGAGTTTGATGTGGTCATGGGCCTGCAAGGTCAATGGGGCTTAGTGTGACGTAGGGAGGAGTGATGCAGGCTGAGGTTAGAAAGGTGCCAGGACCCCAATCTATAAAGCCCTGAGGGCCAGGACGAAGACTCCATTGAAGAGCCATTACAGGATTTCATGCCTGACATCGTGTCTTAAAAGATCACCCTGGCAGCAACATGAAGAACTCACCGTGTGGAGGAGCAAGTGTAGAAACAGAGACAAATTAGGTTGGTGCAGGTGAGAGCTAATGACAGCTAGGACTCATAATGATAACGGAGCAAGATGGGGAGAAGTGGGTAGAGTCAAATACCTTTTAGAGGTAGAGTTGATAGGACTTGGTGATGGGTAAAATATGAGGAACAGAGAAGATAAAGTGACTTCTAGGATGTTGGCTTGAACCAACTGAGTGAGTCGTGTGACTATTTACTAAAATGGGGACAGTTAGGGAAGAGCAGGTATTGACAGAGATTGTTGGAGCAGGAGTCCTGGTGCAGCCTGTTAAGTTTTCAGTGCCTTTTAGATTTCCAGGTGTAGTTAGGTGGAAAGTTAGAGCCTAGAGTTGAGGGGAAGTGGTTAGGGATGGAGGTAAATAGTTGGGAATACCTAAGGAGAGTTTTATATGCTATTTTATGTTTTTCCAGCAATGCTCAACTACATAGTTTAGAAGAAAAGACATGTGATTGATATGACTAGGGGAAAAATTAAGATCAGAAGTGTACTTTGGCTGAGAGGGAAAAACAAGGAAGAAGTAAAGAATGGTGAACTTGATAAAGCAGGAGCAATGGAAAAGGAAGAGAAGAAAAAACAGGAAGGTGTTTTTAAGGCATGGGTGTTAAGATACTCATATTTCAAAAGTAGAGTAGTCAAATACTGAAATGGCCTTGATTATGGTCATCAAGTTTGAAGAAATGAGAGAGATCGTTTGCATTAAAGAGATTAAGAAATGTAAGGTTGGAGTGTTAGATAAGCTGTTCTCCTGAGTATTGAGTTTGTCAGGAAAATGGGGGCATGGGTGTCTGGCCAATGGGTTTCAGCTCCAGGCAAGTTCACCTTGGATTCAATGAGACCAAAAACTGACAAAGGAAGGACTGAAAAATGATGTTCTTGGGGTGAATGAGTTTATACCCAACTTTAT